ACATTCGTAGCTCTTCTCCGAAGGACAAAAAAAAAAAACAAACAAACTGGCCCAATTTTTTAAAACCAGTAAAAAAAACTAGTTATAGATTCGTTCGAATTTCGTCAAGAAAAATCACAAAACAAAAACAGAATTCTAACGGAAATAAAATTGCAAATTTGATCGGGAGATACAATATGCACATACCTCAAACAGCTCAAAAGGGCTCCCACGCTTGTATACGTCATTCTTCTTGGCCTTGTCGGTGGGGAAAATGCTGAACAATAATGTTCTCCACCCGACGAGTAAGACTGCAGTGCTCCCCATGGTAACCAGTATAAAATTGGTTGGTGGTGCGTGTCCAATTGTCACTGCCCTTATGATTAATCCCAACTGTAGCGTACAAGGAAAATAAAGTTGAAGCAAAAAATAGTAGAAAGTTAAAGTGAGACACGCATATATCAACAAAAAAGAAACAAATGAACAGAAAAAATAATGGTAGGTGCATGAGGTACATTAGTGGATTGAACCATCGTCTGTTGACCATTCGTCAACCACTCAATACAAACAACAACAACAACAACATACCCAGTATATTCCCAACTGGTTGGGTCTGGAGGGTCAGTTATACGCAGACTTACCCTTGTAATTATACAAGGAGGCTGTTTCCGTAGCGAACCAAGGTGCATTGCGTCGTTTGATATATTTTTTTTCTAGAAACATCACTAATAGAAGAAGCACTAGAATTTAATCAAGCCATTTTGATCTAGTCTATTATTAGCACTATGCCAGGAGAATTGTCAACAATGACTCTTCCAATGGACAATACCACTCAATACAAAAGAAACAAATTAACAAAAAGTACTCATCTAAGTGCAACACACAACTTCAGATTACAAGTGAACAAACAAAAACCAAATGTTTTTGTTAAGGCCAAATTTCGAGAATTATTTCCTTGTAATGCAAGCTGTATCAATTTCACACGAGCAGTGATCCATATACCTCCTATGACATTACAAAATTCAACTTCTTCTATAACTATACTTTAGTAACAAGACCCTAAGTTGAGAATCAATTCTTCGGGTCTTACCAGGAGATTAGTAATCTATAATCTTACTAGCTGACCAGCAAACACAAGCTCAGACAAGTCCATCATCCACATGGATTTTCAGCTTCTTTTATCACCCAGTCACTCTAATAACTGCCAATAGAATCAGATTCTTCTCTAATAGACATACCTAGTAGTTCTATTTATATTGCTTGGTTCTCTTTTATTATTCTACCACAAATATTTTAGATTCATTTTTTTTTTAAATAAAAAGCTACATGCTTTTTGTGGATTGAGATGCTAAGGAAAAATCCTACACCAAGATAGTAACAAAGGTGAAGGAGATGTTATTGAATTTTGATCTATAAACAATGCTACCCAAGGAAAACTATGAGGCTCATAGCGATCATTCTTGAAAAAATGTACACTTCGTATTTTTGGCACATCCTAGTCTGCTGGTGTCCATGAGGTTTTAATAAAGAACGGATTTCATATAGAGTTGTGTAAGTCTGGAATAATCAGTCCAGGCTATCCCAAAAGTCCCATTGGACTTCAAAGAAAAGAGTACACCTTGGTGCTTACTTTGCAGGGCTCTTTGCATCCTTCCTGCTTCCATAATAATTAATCTACAGTGAAGAATCCCATAAAGCTCGACAAAGGTATATTACTTCCTCCTGCCTCGTACACAAACAAACTTGCATTCATCTAAAACCCAATATAAGCCAAAATATCCTTTTCATGCAAACTTTTCGAAAGGGAAGCTCTTTTAAGAAATGTTTGGCCTTCCTTAATTGGAAAGATACACGAGGAACTTCAACAAGACGTCAACAATTCCATAATCCATCAATTACAACACTAATGCTTCACTCAGAGGCAACAACAGTTCACAAAGTATTAGAAAGAAATCAGTAGCTGTGCTCTCAAGGACAATAAAAGTACAAGCAAGAAAATTAACTGGGGTTTCATTTGTTCTGCCTAAAGGGATATGAATAAGGAGTTACCGGAATACCCAATGACCAGGACTTAGCAGCAGCAAGAACAGCCTTCCACAGACCGTTCTTTCCCCGGCCTTCTTCTCCATACCCCCCAAGAAAATATGCACTTAGAAACCACCCTATTATTCGAGAAGAAAAACAAAAATACAGAGAAACTCCATTAATTGATCCCAAAATGTAATCTTTCTTCCAGACAAGAAGAAATCGCCATATACCTAGGATGAGAAAAGGGAAAACAACAAATGATTT